AAAAAAATTCTTTGGGTGCACACCCTAATAAACGTGCTGTGCTTGCCTATGAGCACTTCAGTATGCATACTTCCATTGCTATACGGAAAAAGCTGACTTTGTGTGGATGCTCCAATGTAGGTGTTTGGCGCTTGTACATTTAAAAAAATTCTTTGGGTGCACACCCTAATGAAACGTGCTGTGTTTGCCTATGAGCACTTCAGTATGCATATTTCCATTGTTATACGGAAAAAGCTGACTTTGTGTGGGTGCTCCAATGTAGGTGTTTGGCGCTCCTGTGCTTCTAGTCAAATATTTTTAGTATTAGTACCCCTTCCTTTGCTCAGGCTCAGTGACAAGGACTGGGGTAGCCTCCCTCAGTGAGACTCATAACAGAAATTCCCATCTAGATATTGGTACAGTGCCCTGGGAAACTGAGGCACATAGGGTTATTATAGGACAGTAGAACTCACATGAAACATAAGGCAAATGCCGTCCCCACTTTGTCACAATGGGTTAAGCACCTGTGAACCAGAACAGCTTTTTGCTCAATTGCCATTATAAACAAAGCCTTAGCTTTTCCATTTTCTACTCTAATTGCCTGATGAGACCACTGGACTTGATTCTCCCCTCTTAGTCTCCTTATCCAAAGTGGAAAAACGAAATCATGTTTGGGAAAGCTTCCTGAGAGATGACTTTCTGTAGTTCAATTTTGCATTATTTCCATTGTTCAACTTTAGTTCCTAAAGCCGAACTAAATTCAGGATGTATTCCTGCAATTTACCATTTATTGCTATTGATTTTTCTTGTTTATCTACTTGTTTAAAAAATTGTTAAACAGGTGTAAACTATTATTATTGTTTAACAGTTTGTCACTTAGTTCCCTATCTCTTAAATAGTAAACATTTGAAAAGATAATCTTTTGTCACTGATGGTCTAATAGCAGCCGACAATTTTTTACTTCCACCTTATTCTTTTACAAACTTGAAATAATAGTTTGTTTTTTTATGCTATTTTCTGTAGGCTTGATGATATTATGAAAGTTTTCAAATTGCTCAGCACTCTTCTTTATGCTGGTGGCAGGGTGCTACATACTATGCAGTGGCACTTCTAAAGCAGGATGGGAACACTACAAGAGAGGGACATGTTGCTTATTTCAAAGGGTACGTCTACACTACAGAGTTTTGTTGGAAAAACGGCCACTTTTCTGACACAACTGGAGGAACGTCCACACTGCAATTGCATTCTTCCGCAAGAAAATTGAACAAACAGAGGGGTTTTTCCAGCAGTGGTAATCCTCATTCTACAAGGAAGAAGCGTTTTTAAGAAAGAACTCTTTCACAAAAAGGTGTGTGTGTCTTCTGGGAAGAGGGAGTTTTCGGAAGAAGAGGAAAAACTTTTGGAATGGGTCCCATTTGAAGAGAGGTTAAAGTGACTGGGGCTTTTCAGTTTAGAAAAGAGGAGACTTAGGGGGGATATGATAGAGGTATACAAAATCATGAGTGGTGTGGAGAGAGCGAATAAAGAAAAGTTATTTATTAGTTCCCATAATAGAACTACTAGAGGACACCAAATGAAGTTAATGGGTAGCAGGTTTAAAACTAATAAAAGAAAGCGGCGAGGAGTCCTGTGGCACCTTATAGACTAACTGAAGTGTTGAAGCAAAAGCTTTCGTAGGCAAAGACCCACTTCGTCAGATGCATGTCACATGCACATGCATCTGATGAAGTGGGTCTTTGCCTACGAAAGCTTATGCTTCAACACTTCAGTTAGTCTATAAGGTGCCACAGGACTCCTCGCTGCTTTTGCAGATTCAGACTAACATGGCTACCCCTCTGATAATAAAAGAAAGTTTTTCTTCACACAGCGTGTAGTCAGCCTGTGGAACTCCTTGCCAGAGGAGGCTGTGAAGGCTAGGACTATAACCGAGTTTAAAGAGAAGCTAGATAATTTCATGGAGGTTAGGTCCATAAAAGGCTATTAGCCAGGGGATAGAAATTCCTGGCCTCTGTTTGTCAGAAGCAGGAGAAGGATGTCAGGAAACAAATCGCTTGATCATTGTCTTTGGTCCACCCTCTCCGGGCCACCTGGTGCGGGCCACTGTCAGCAGACAGTCTACTGGGCTAGATGGGCTTTTGGGCTGACCCAGTATGGCCATTCTTAGGTTCTAAAAAGCACAGGTGCCCTGGTGGCTATTCTGTCCATAGCAGTCACAGCTTACATGTGAGAGAGCATCTTATTCAGTCTGGGCGCTGTCTTTCAAAAAAGCAGATTGCTTTTTCGATGCACTTTTGCAGTGTGGACGCTCTCTTTCGGAAGAAGTTTTTTCGGAAGATGTCTTCTGAAACAAGTTTCTTCCAAAAGAATCCTGCAGTCTAGACGTAGCCAGTGTTTTGCCTTGTGAGCACAACAGAACTTTTGAACATATTGTAAGCCATTTCGCTGTTCTTCTTGCATTGTGTGTGGTTTTGGAAAAGTGTGAAGATAATGCTGTACTACATTTATCCTACCAGTAGTGGATGTATTACTGAAAAAACATCTGAGAAACATGTAAAATATTAAATAAGGATTTCAAACTTTGTTGTCTAGGTTTGAGAGGATCTGGGTAATTAGTGAACAGTCTTTCTAGTTTAGGAAAGATTTACTTGCAGACTTCAGGGTTAAGCTATTTTGCCTTTTCTGACTGGTCTATTCCAACTCCCTTACTTGCTTTTCAGGGTGTTACACTCTCCATTTATGAGGAACTCCTCTAAGCTAGAGATCAACTAGATAGATAAGGTGGTTGAAGTAACATATTTGTTTTTCACCAACAGAAGTTGGTCTAGTAAAAGATCACCCACCTTGTCTCTCTAATATCCTGGGACCAACACAGCTACAACTCTGCATGCAACATAGAGTAGGTAGACTACATCTGGAAGAAAATGTACATCTTTTAGCCAGCCTGTCTGTTTTCTAACTGCAGTACTATGGGAGGTAACAGCATGGGGTGATAGGGCAGGGGAGGATGCCTGTGAGCTGCTAACCTGCTCAATCCCGGCTTAAACTGGGTCTGAGAGCTACCCCTGCTGCGGCTCTGCAGTTTAAAAGTTGTAAGAGCCGGGCATGCAGGCAGCCCGGCTTCTATTACATTTAAGCTGCAGAACCACAGCAGGGGTAGTTCTTAGCTCTTACAGACTAATTGTGTAGTTGATAGAAATTCTGCTGACTACACAATTAGCTAATTACTCGCTTCCTAACATCCCTAATAAGTAACTCAAACAAGGCAATATTTTTATGCTAGCTAAATTTTAGTGTTGACTTCTTTCATTAAATTTGAAGTTGTAAAAATTGCTCACTATATGGATGCATGTAATAAGCTGCTTTCTGTTCTAATTACTTTAAACCGTTGTGTCTGTCAGCTGTGAATGCTTTTTACCTTTAATTAAACTTTACAAACATGCAGGTCGATACTGCTTCATATAGAGCAGTGGTTCCCAACCTTTTCCAGATGGGGACCCATTTTGACAATTCATGAAGACTTGGTGACCCAAGGCAATTCAAAAATGGGGGAAGCAGGGGGAAGAGCCACCTGGGAAGACACTTGGTGACCCTTTTGAAATGGAATGGCAACCCATATTTGGGTCCTGACCCATAGGTTGGGAAACCCTGATATAAAGTAATCAGCAAGATTTTTATTAAAACTAACACTATAGGATTCTGGGTGGCTGTACCTCAGTTTAGGACCATTTCTGATACAACACATTTTGGACTTAAGCTATTTAACCATCCTTTAAGAACTTGCTAGATAATGTCCTGATCCTACAACATTTTGTCAAAAAGTATTCAGATTGACCTTGGTAGAAGTACTTGTAAACAGTGACTATGGGAATGGTAGGAGGAAAGAATTCTGCAAACACCATTATTGACTGTGTGTGTGTGTGTGTGTAAAATTATTATAGAGTTCCATTTTAATATCAGATTTACTCTTTAATAAACTCTTTGGCTTTGTGTTCCTGATATAAGTCTATTCAAAGCCAAAAAGTGACACTTACTGTAAGTTGTATTTGGATTTTTTTAGCTCAGTGTACTTTTCCCTTCAGAATTTTAGATGCGTATTTTATTTTTAGTTGAGACTTTCATTCTATTATCTAGCCAACAAAAATAAACTTTAGTCCATCAGTAATGATGGCTCCTGGGCCGGCCCAAGGCATTCTGGCGCCCCAGGGGCACGGGCTGCTGGTGCATCAGTAATGATGGCTCCAGGGCCGGCCCAAGGCATTCTGGTGCCCCAGGGGCACGGGCTGCTGGTGCGCGCGCCGGCCCATGTAGGGCCCCGCAGCCAGGGGGGAAAGGGCGTTGCTGGCTGGTGCCACGGGGATGCGGGCAGCCCGGCGCTGCGGGAGCTGGGCGCGCAGCGCCTGATAGCAGCTATAAGGGATGCCCCGTGCCCCTTACAGCTGCCATCAGGCGCCCCCCCTTGGTTGGTGCCCTGGGCAGCTGCCCAGCTCGCCCATGCCTCTGTCCGGCCCTGGATGGCTCCATATTTTTGTATGGAAAGAAACAAATCTACAATTGCATGACTAAATAGTTATGTTCAAATGTATTTCTGTTGTCTTTTTTTAGTGAAATATTTCACTGCATTAATTCACTTTGAACCAGTGAATGGTACCATTCAATCTCCTTCCCCTTATCATAGCACTTTCCTTAGTAGTCTTAGGACAGGTATGTTGTCAAAAGATATTAAATGCTGAAATACATGATTGAGCTGGGATCACAAATGTATTCCAACACTAGAGAACAAAAATCCTCATCTCTTTTCAAGAATGAATTATTTTACTTAATGTTGATAATTCTGTGAACTATCTGAAAAATTAATGCATAATTGTATCCTTTTGAAAGCATGACCTTTGAAAATTAGTGCATTTTTGCAGTGTAAATTGTTACATTTTTCTGATGAGCAAAATGAATTAGGTTAATTATTTTGTTGTTTGGAACATATTATGTTATGAGAAGTAACAATGATACATTTCTTTGACTTCCAGGCTGTTTTTGAGTACCTTCACTCTTGCAGTTTCAGCTGGTGCCGTCCTGCTTCTACCTTTTTCAATAATCAGCAATGAGATCCTGCTTTCTTTTCCACAAAACTACTATATTCAGTGGTTAAATGGCTCTCTGATCCATGGTTAGTACTTGCTTAATGTAATTAAAAATACATTGTGACAGGTAATACCACTTCAAGTGCATATTATCATTTTGTTTTTATATATTTACTGGCATAATTGTTCAAAATTGTGAATGTTCTTAGTTTGTATGCCATTGATAAATTAGGTATTTGTAATCTCATGCACTGCAGCAGATTTACAAGTCATCACCATTCTGGTATTTTGAGCATTGCATTGACTAAGCAAGGCAACCCAAAAGCTGTTGTTCTTGAATACAGAAACGTGTATAATAGTTTCTATAAAATCAGTTCTAAGTAACTTGGAAACTTGAAATAATTATTTTTTCATCTGTAGTTTCAATGTTCAGTGAGTTGAAGAGGGATGCGGCAGTAAAAATCTGTGGTTTTATATATTCATATACAGCTAGCCATTTGTACAATAAACTTTCCAACTAATGATTAATTGAGAAGCAATGACTTCTAGCTGCTTTTTATTTTTAAAAGTAAATCATGTATGTAAAAGGATATGTTTTGATTTTGCCACATTTGTTAGAGTAAAATTATTCAAGGTAGAGTCTTGTCTTCCTGTGTGGTGTCAGTGCTAGACAGTGCTATTTCAGCAAATCCCTTAACCCTTGTGGAATGCGGGTTACGGGGACTCTGGAATAGTGCACCTGTAATTTCAAAATATATTTCAGAATAATGGGCGTGTTAAAAGATGCGGAATTGCTATTTCGGGATGCTTCCGGTATCCCAAAATAGCCCTGCTGTCTAGATGTAGCCTTAGTGACCACATTCTGATTTTTTTTTTTTTTCCCAGTGATGACATCTAGTGTTCCCTCTAACATTTTCTATCCTTTGGTGAGTTGAATTTTCTTTTGGGTGGGTTGAAATTTCTTATGTGCAACACCAATATGGAGGTAGCGTGTAGATATGTGTTCACCTGTACAAATAAAAAACCTAGGTATAAATATATATTTTAAACAGTCTGAGTGTGGAATATATTAAAATAAGGGATAATTAACAAGGAGCAATGCTTGTGATGTTTAATATGAAATCAAATAAAAAGAAAATTAACACTGCCCTTGGATTACATGTATTATCCTTTCTAACAACTCAAGCTAGTAAACACACCAAATTGAGTATTATCCATGCCTAGGTCAGCTTTAAGATTCTAAGAAAATCTGAGTCAACAAGAAATAGTAATGCTTTCCTTGCACATATTAATTCAATGTTTACTGCCACAGGAAAGGAGAGTAAAAGCATTTACTCAGGGTTCTACAGTTTATCTGGGGGAATATTTAGGATCCATGATATACAAATTAAACAGATTTCTAAAAACAGAAGTTTTCCTGGTTTGAAACTGACACTTTGTGGAAACCCCAGAAAAAATAAACACATGGCATCAGGGTTTGTAGACAGACCCATGGTCTCAGAGAGAGCTTGCAAATAAGGCTTCATTGTACAAAACAGCTAGCATCATACCTAGTACTTGCTACTTCTGACTCATAAGAGCAAGAACTCTGCCAGATAGCAAAGTTTTGCCTTAATGGAATACAATATACCATGTATTAATTAGTAACACTGGAGTTAAAACAGTCATTAAGACCACAGTTATAGATCTTTACAACAGCACTCCAAAGAAAAGCTTTTAAAATAATCTCTTTTTTTACCATAAGCCATTAACACCTATGTAAACATTGTTTGAAATGTAATCCTGCAATTGTCTTGCCCCCTAGTCCTTTCCTAAGGAACTCCAAGAAGTCCCCCTTCCCTTTACTCCCTAAGATAACATAAAATCATAATTGTCTTGCCCCCTAGTCCTTTCCTAAGGAACTCCAAGAAGTCCCCCTTCCCTTAACTCCCCAAGATAACATAGAATCATAGGCTGGAAGAGATCTCCAGAGGTCATCAAGTCCAGCCCCCTGCCCAAAGCAGGACCAGTCTCAACTAAATCAACCCAGCCAGGACTTTGTTAAGCTGAGACTTAAAAACCTCTAAGGATAGAAGATTCCACTACCTCTGTACGTAATCCATTCCAGTACTTCACTACCCTCCTAGTGAAATAGTTTTTCCTAATATCCAACCTAGACCTCCCCCACTGCAACTTGAGCACATTGCTCCTTCTTCTGCCATCCGTCAATACAGAGACCAGCCTCTCTCCATCCTCTTTGGAACCTCCCTTCAGGAAGTTGAAGGCTGCTATCAGATCCCTCCCCCCCCCCGCCGCTCTTTTCTTTTCTGCAGACTAAATAAGCCCAAATCCCTCAGCCTCTCCTCATAGGTCATGTGCTCCAGCCCCCTAATCATTTTGGTTGCCCTCCGCTGGACCCTCTCCATTGTGTCCACATCCTGTCTGTAGTGGGGGTCCCACATCTGGACACAATACTCCAGATGCGGCCTCACCAGAGCCGAATAAAGGGGAATAATTACTTCTCTAGATCTGCTGGCAGTGCTCCTCCTAATACAGCCAAAATGGAATATTAGGTTGCAAGGGCACACTGATTCCATGATTCCAAATGGGGTGAAAGTAGAAAAGCGCAGAGGAGGAGGAAAAGAAAGGTGCTGTCTTGTTACCATAGAGTAGGGAGGTGGGGGGGCATGTACAATTTGGAGAGAATGGGGCAAAGTAGCAGGAAGCTGGCAACTGAATATGCAGCTGGGGAGTGTACCATGGGATCCCTGTCCAGCCAATTCCCCAAAGGTGGACTAGGGGAGAAACAAGAGACTGGTGGTGGAGGGGAGGCTGCCACCTTGTTAGCAGTTCACAGGGCAGAGGAGATTTTGAGAGTAAAGTAGGGAAGTTGACCCATTCTGGTAGTGCCTGTAACTTACACAGCTTTTTCCATGTGGCCAGTGGCAGGCAATGAAGCACGGATCCCTCCTCCAGTTCAGCTGGCAACTCTGTCTCCAAAACGATCTGGGTCACATTATCTTCCAAGTACTTTCTGCCTCCCTGATTGGAGAACTTCCTCACCCCCAGGGAGTACGGACTATCCACGGGGTGGAGAGGGTTTGGGGGAGGTCTGGAGTAGAGGCTGGAGCCAGCTCCTCCATTTATAGCAGGCAGCAATAGCAGCAGCTGCTGCTGCTTCTGCTCCTTCGCAGTGAGAAGCAAATGCCCCGCCCTGTCTTCCCCAGCTGGATTCCTTGTGCAGATTCTTTGAACTTCTGAGCAGAGCTCAGAAAACAGCTACGTGTGCATGCAACTTACAGGGAACTTTAATGACATTCTCTTTCCACCTCAACGCGCCTATGCATTTCTCTACATTTTATCCCAAATCCCACAAAACCCCACAGGAAGCAATGCTGCACATTCTTAAGGGCGTTTGCCTTGTACTTGAACAGAATTAAACTATTTTGGAGATTTTTGCCTCCCCACCCCCAGGCTTTTCCTATCTACTGCCAATTGATCCAAAGTGAATATTTCTGAGCAACGACTATCTAAGTGGATATCAGACAGTGTTAGGTCATGTTATTGCATTCAGGATCTCAAAGCCCCAGAGGGCATTTGAACTCTCTCCACTGAAGTGTCTTATTCAAAGAAGAAGAGAAGGTTACTGGCCTTGTGCAGTAATTGAAGTTCTTTGAGATGTGTGTTCCTATGGGTGCTTCCCTACTCCCTCTCCTCCCTTCTACTTTGGAGTTAAACTTAAATGACTTTATGGTAGAGAAAGAACTTAAGACGTCAGGACTTGCACTTGCCAAAAATTTCAACATCACCGTGAGACACCCACTGTGTATGCCTGTCCTGACCAGTCACTGCCATTGAAGATCTCCAGTCAATGGCACCAGAATGCACCCATCACCTGGAGTGGAGCACCCAGAGGGGCACACGTCAAAGAACTTCAGTTACTGTACAAGGTGAGTAACCTTCTTGTTTTCTTTGAGGAGTGTCCCTCTGGATGCTCCACTTCAGATGACTTGGGCGCTGCTGTGAGCCTAGTCGGAGATTTTTGGTAGCTGTGCTCTCCGGTGAAGCAGACAGCACATTCAGTGCCTCTACCACACATGCGCAGCAACCGTCCTTTATCCGTCGAAACTGCTCTGCTCTCCAACTTAGTCTTTCCCTTGTTAGCTTAGGCTAGTTAGTTGTTTCTTCTCCAGATAAATTGTTTCAGGTTTATTGTTAGTGATAGTTGTAGTTTTTTAAAAAAAATATTGGCTCTTTGCTTAGTTAGTTCTTTCTAGCAACCCTAAAATTTTTTTACCTGGGATGCTGGGTTCCCCAGTTTTAAACAGTGCCTATACTGTAGGCTTTCAATTCCTGTTTCTGATAGGCACGCTCAGTGTGTTCGGTGCCTAGATCAGACACATGCCACAGCGCACTGCGAACATTGTAAACAGTAAACCGCCTGCATGCGAAAGGCCAGGGAGCTACAATTGAAGTTAATTTGTCTGGCATCAGACCAGCCTCCGACCCGGAGAACTCTACACCACTGCGGCAGCCATGTTGGAGAAGGCTGCCCTGTCTTCTCGAGACTTCCTTAGACCCTCCTAGGAAGAGGTCTCACACAGTGGGAAGAGGTGACTCTCCATCAAAAAAGTAGGGGACACCACCTAAAATACCCCCTTCACTGACCCATTCAAGGGTTCAGGACAGGGAGGTACTGGGACCATTGTCGGAACATGGCTCCTGAGGGTCTAAGGACATGGCAATGCCGTCAGACAGGGCACCAAATAAGCCCAAGTCAAAATCATCACCTGCTGCACTGATATCTACTGACTTGGCACACGAGAAGGCCAAGTCAAAGATGCACCATGGACAGGCACCATTGGAACCGAGGCACACCACGGTACCCGCCGCATCTTCGGTACGGATGCCTCCCATGGTACTGAAAATATAAAAGCATGCCTTACTTTCAGTTCCACCGGCGCCACAGATTGCTGTCCTCCACACCGCTGGTGCCACCTACATCAGTTGCCTCTCTTCTAAAGATGCTGGAAGAGCTTAGGGTCACGTCGGTACCAATCATGCTGCTCTTCAGCACCAGTAGTATACCTGCATCCAGCAGATTCAT